TTAAACCTCCTAAATACCATATTAGTGGGGGTAGTTGTGATACCCCTCGGATTCGAGACACGGGTTGATAAAGCCAAGACCCAAACCCGAGGGAATATCAAAACAATTAAAGTATTTTAAAGCGAACACAGATGACAAAATGAAATAATAAAGATGGAATAAAACTGAAAGAAACATTAATTATAAAACCCTCTATGCATAACTAAAATAATAAAACTCCAATCCTCCTAAAACTTCAAGGTTACAACTTGGGAATCTACTGGTGGACCCCTAACCAAAAGTTCAACTGAAACTGAAAATTTAAAATAGAAAATGCTAGAAACATCGAGAAAATCCTACGTAATCAGATGAATATGAGACTGTCCTTGACAAGCACGATCAAGCTCTAAGGCTGGAACCGTCCTGTACCTGAAAAGAATAATAAAGGAGTGGGTCAGACCCACGAGCAAGTTCTAATCTAACTGCAATCCATACAAGGACCCGATACGCAGATACACTGTAGACACCTCACAATATCTATCTAGTCCATACGTATAAATATATCCACACTAAGGGAGATTCACTAGTCTATAATAGGGGTCTCAACCTGAATAGAAGGTAACATGTGAATACGCACTCAAAGGTGGGCATGAGTACCTAGACCTAACATGGTACACCTCAACCTATTATAACCAGCTATGCATCCACCGCATATACGCACCCTAACCAACGAGTCTGAGACTCAAGCTCAGCTCGTGGTACCATAAACATATATATAACATCCATCCAAATCCGGGGTATGTAGTTCAAATATTTAATAAACTGACATACAACAAACCAACTGGTTAGTCACCCAACTTATTCAGTTGATGTGACTTAACCTCCGTCCATTAATCCAAGAAGCCACTCAACTTAGTTGCAGTTGACATGTCTTAACCAAAATTAGGATTCAACATTTATAAATCCATTCCTTAAATCCGTTAGGTTAGGTTTAAGTGTTTGGAGCTAAACTGTCACCAGTATGTCATCGTCCCATACCGGTGCATACTATCCTCCATATCTAGGTAAATTACAATGTATACATAATGAACAAGTAATTTACAGTCCAAAACCACCATCCAAATAATTGCAGAAAAGTATTTAAGATTTCAGCAATTTAAATCCCAGAATTAAACCATGTAATTGCAGGAAACAGTTTAATAGTTTACACAACTAGCATCCAAAGCATGCATAGACCCAATCCAATATATCAATGACTCTATCATGCATTTAGAACAAATTCTATAATCCCATTATAGTCCAACAAATTGCTAAATTAACCTAAACAATTTATTTCGTCCCATCCGATAACAGTGTACTAAGTCATACGCTTTTATACTGTTTTATTCTTTATCTTAGAGACTTAACCCATGCATCAACTAGTTTAATCACACTTAGAATCAAGTAATTAAATCCTCTGAAAAGTCCCCACAATCCATTAGAAGCATACCAAGACTCAAACAGTGTCCAGAATATCAAACAGTACCTTAAAAACTAAAAAAAAATAAAAATTAATCGTATATTGCAAAGGGAGCCTGCTCCAAATTTTGGGAGCAGGCTCTTTCAGCCTAGAGCCAGCTCTAGGAGTCCTTAGAGCCGGCTCTACTTGTTGTGGGAGCCGGCTCCCACATCCATGGAGCCGGCTCTCACCTCCTTTGAGAGCCTCTGTCCCCGTTGCTTCGTTTCCGTCCATCTGCTGCTTCTCTGATTAATTCCTACCACTCTGTTGGTTTCTAAAATAGATTTTAAGCATCTTATTAACACCCATGAGCATCCCAAAGGTTTGATAACAACCATTAGAATCAATTACAGAGGTTAAATTGGTTACCGAACTAACACACGTTAGGAACAAATCTGCAACTATTTTGCAATAACAGTTCTAGTCCAACCCCTCTGTTCCTCTTCACTACTGATCTTTAGAGTCCTATAACACCCCATAATCATCCCCATGATTTATTTACAGAGGTTAAAAACAATTACAGAAACTAAAATTGTTAACAACAAAACATGCTTAAACAGAGAACTGAAACAAGACTTGCAAACATTTAACATAATTTATTTTAACACGCAGAGATCATCAATATTTTATATGGTAAGCATTTAAGTTCTGATTTAATAATTAATTAAACCCTAGAGATTATCTAGGTGCACAGAACACAAGCCAGATGGAAGGAGGAAGAGAAGAACTTGCCTGTAGTTTTAGACTCAAAACTTGTCGCCGTCGTCCTAACTTCCGGCAACCACAGACTACCTTCTAGCTTTCTCTGGTTCTGGTCTAATCCACCAAAATCCTCCCTTGGTATTCACTGATCTTTTCCTTGACAATTCTTATAGTGCCTCCGTTCACAACCCTCTGTGCTAAGAACTTACTTCACGTTTATGTAATCTGAATTATGATTGTAAACCCTAGGCTAAAGCATAATGGTTTATTTATAGGTTTAACTCTAAAACCCTAATCCTTGTAATTTTAGAGACAGAGCCCTAATCTTAATCCTAGTCGGCCCATAAACAAAACCTATGATTAAATTCTATGTTGATGCCCAAAAGAAACTGTGAGTCAATTAATGTATTTAAAAACTCACGTAACTTAATTTTAACATTACAAGAATTATAGTAAGTTAATTTCCTAAGTTTAAAACAGTGAATTACAAATAATACAATTAATAATTTACGAAAATAGACACAACAATTAAGAATTTAAATAAACCAAATAATGCACATAAAACCAATTTAATTCAAATTTCAAATAACCAATTAAACAAATGAAAAAGCATAAAATAAATAAAAATGCAATAAAGACTATAAAATAAATAAAAATGCAATACAATAAATATTAAAAATGCCGAGACTATCCTTTTAAAATTAGGGGTATTACAGTAGTGGGAGTTAAGCCTAAAAGTTATGTTAGTGTGAGTAATTGGGTACTTAAATGTAATTGTTACACCTATGTTCATGTGGCCTATATATTCATGTACTCTAGTCAAATAATAGTAGAAGTGGAATAAAATAATTTTTCAAGTATTCCTCCATATCATTCTCTTCCAAAATATTATTGAGTATTCTGTGTATTTAGGCCACTAATTCCAACAATTACTTCACCGAGGCTGGCGACGAATCCTCTGACCAGAATCGACCTGAAAGCACCACTCCGAATGGCAAGAGAAGTTCCTACTACCATAAGAAGCTCAAACACAAAGGTGTAGCCGCAGATTCCCACGATGAGTTTTGAGTTGATCACCGAAAGGATTGCGAGGAGTGGAGCAACTTAGCGATAGTGTGTCTTTTGGATGTCTAAAACATTAATCAATTCTCTACCCTTCCTCTTCTTTGAATTGGATTTCCAAACACAGAACACTAATCAAAGAACACCAATTACTCAAACCCTAAACCTGAATCTCGATCTTAATCACTTAAAGAACCCATCAAATTCCAAACATAGAACACTAGTCGCAATCTCAATCACTCGAATCAGTCTCCTCAGTGTCTTTGTTGCCATGTATTCGTCAGTTGATTTCTCTATTATGGAACAATTAGTGCCCAAGCTTTTATATGTTTAAAATGAAAGAGATATTGGTGATGGTATATGCGTATATGCATACTTGAAGGTGGAAACATTATCTCTGTGGTCGGCGGGGGTGGTGGTGATGGTGGGCCAGTACATGAATATATTATAGGGAGAAAAAATTAGTAGAGAAAGAGAGAGATAGATGGTAGGGACAAGAGTATTTTGGGAATTTTATTAAATTTTGTATCTGACATTAACATAATCGGTCGTTGACTGACGTTAACTCTAATAAAAGGGAAATTCGTGTAGAATATTTTTATTTTTAGGGGAGGTCTAAGTAAATTTCAAAACCATAGGAGAAGTTTCTGTAATTATGGCAAATCACAGGAGAGGTCCCTATAAATTACCCAAAAAAATATTACTTAAAAAAAAAAACAAGAGCTAATGGTGATAGAAAGTGAAGGGAACAAAAATTAAGTTTCCAAACGTCGATTATGTTAACATGAAATTTTTGTAAAAAAAAATTATTATAAAAGAAAGGATAATATTGTAAGCTCATAAATTTTTTTCAAGAAGCCTCGTTAACTTAAAAAATGCAATAATTTTATATGTACTATAAATAAGTGTCTCTTTGGTACAATTGTTTATTCTCGGTGAATACAAATATTATTCATGAAAAAAAAGTACAAATAAAAAATCAAAGAATCAACAATACAAATTGTTTTATTCTCGGTGAATAGAAATACAAATATTATTCATGAAAAAAAAGTACAAATAAAAAATCAAAGAATCAACAATACAAATTGTTCCATTAATATGAGGGAACGTATCAAGGAGTGAGAGGAATCACATTCCACATGATTTTGAGCCCCATAAGACATGCAGATATTAATGGTCTGCTGTCACGGATATATATATATATATATATATATATATATATTAATTAGCTATAGCGACCATGGTAACGACAACCCCATACATGTTAAGGAGGCACTTGTCAAATAAATGTTGGCTTTAGGCACAAATAATAATAATAATAATAATAATAATAATAATAATATTAATATTGCTGCCTTTCCAATCTGCAATAAGTTCTTGTTTTACCTTTAAACAATAAAATAAAATAAGGTCTTGTTTTAATTTTTAATATTTAAAATAAGCCGAAATTAGCATAAAAGTGGTATATTTTTCTTTGAAATGTACACCATTTATTTGGTTTAATTTTTTGAAAATAATTTCTATTTTAAAAGAATAAAAAATAATACAGAATTTGTTTGGTTAATAATATTTTAAAAACTCAATTAAAAAAAAACCTTAATCAAAAAGGTCCTAATTGGACTCTTTTTAAAATAGGGTAAAAAAATAAAAAAAAAAATCTAATAAAATATTAGAATGTAAATAACATGAATACATTAATGAATAAAGCATGCAACTATTTCTTAACCTATAAAAAAGGAAGGTGTGGATTTCATTATTTAATACATTTGTTTCAACAACTAAATTTACAATCACAAACTTTATGAACTCCATTACTGCAAGATAGAGAGCTTGCTTCCTATATTAGTAGAGATATATTCTCATATTGAGTTTATTTAGAGAGAGAAATCTGCATTTAGAGAGAGAGGAGGGGGGGAGAGAGAGAGAGAGAGAGATATGAAGCTTTGGAGTTTGGTTTTCTTGGTACTTTTCTTGGGGATATTTCTCCAAGCAGAGGCAGAGGATGGGTTTATTGGGAGCAGAGGAATACAGCTTATGTTGAATGGTAGTCCTTACTATGCAAATGGGTTCAATGCATATTGGTTAATGTATGTGGCCTCTGACACATCTCAGAGAAACAAAGTCTCCTCTGCCTTCCAAGAAGCTTCAAGCCATGGCTTTACAGTGGCAAGGACTTGGGCTTTCAGTGATGGTGGTTATAGCCCTCTACAGTACTCCCCTGGCTCCTATAATGAAAACATGTTTCAGGTGCCTCTCTCTTTCTCTCTCTCTCTCTCTCTCTCTCTCTCCCACACACACAAATATTTATCAATTCATTTCATTGCTTTGTGTTCTCATTGGTTTTCTTCTCCCTTTTTGATGGTTCAAAGGGCTTGGATTTTGTAATTTCTGAAGCTAGAAAATATGGGATTAAGTTAATTTTGAGCTTGGTGAATAACTATGAGAACCTTGGAGGGAAGAAACAGTATGTGGACTGGGCCAGAAATCAGGGGCAGTACTTAAGATCTGATGATGATTTCTTTAGCAACTCTGTTGTCAAGGGCTACTACAAAAACCATATCAAGGTGAATCATTGTCTCCCTCTCTCTATTAGTCTTTTGATTTTGTTATTAAAATAGCATATAAATATCAATAATCATATCTATGATTTTTTTTTGGCCACTTTTTCTTTCCTTATTTTATTTTTTATTGGGATTTATGTGAAAGATTGCTTAAATCAGTTTCTTTTCTTTCTGGTTGAAAATGCATCAAGGATTGAAGTCTCATTTGTGATGCTAGTAACAGTGATCAACCAAGAATTACTTTTAGTCACCATTAAAATTTGATTTATTTATTCTGATAAATTTTCCATTTCTCATATTGTTTGTAGACTGTGCTCACAAGACATAACAGCATGACTGGAGTTGCTTACAAGGATGACCCAACAATAATGGCTTGGGAGCTCATGAATGAGCCTAGATGCACTTCAGATCCATCAGGAAGAACCATGCAGGTTAGAGAAACCACTCCCTAAACCCCTCTTTGTTTGCTTCATTTTCACTTCATTTTAAAAATTTGTCTCTGTATTTAATTGTAATTTCTTATATATGATCATGTATGCACCTAAACAGGAACTTTTTTTTTCTCTGTATTTAAGTGTAGAAATTTTATCTTGGGAGTTATTTAGTCCAATTTTATGGGTACTATACCCTACCCAAAAAATAAATAAATAAAAATAAAAAAAATAAAAAATGTAAGGGTCTGTTTGATTCAATTTTGAAAAAACACTTCTCAACAATTCCGAAAACTAAGAACTGTCGAAAATGAATGACTTGCTTGGTTTGTAACTACGGAAATAGTGTCTGTTATTGGAAAATTGTACAAAAAATTCTCCTTGGTTTAGTTTTCTGAAAACTGAGTTATAAAGAGGACTGTTATCTGAAAACTGTTTTATATTTTCTGAGAATTGTTTTCAAAGTTACAAACAGATAACAGTTTTCAGAGTTACAAACCAAGCATGTCTGAACTCTTTTTTCTCAAAACACTACACCAAATAGGTGCTAAATATATCTTGTGGAACAAAGAGGCCTCATGTTGATAGAATATGAATCCAAACTGCCCGTTAAGCCAAACTTGTCGGTAAGAGCCTCTCAATCTTGCAACAGGCATAGTTTATATTTTACCCTATTTGTCATTCAAAAGTTTGATCATTAGTGCACTTGTGCAACACAGGCTTGGATTACAGAAATGGCTTCTTACTTGAAATCAATAGACAGTAATCACTTGCTAGAAATTGGTTTGGAAGGGTTCTATGGAGCATCAGCACCTCAGAAGCAGCAATACAATCCAAATTTTCAAGTAGGAACTGATTTCGTAGCAAACAATCAGATATCCGGGATTGATTTCGCCACTGTTCACTCCTACCCTGATCAATGGTAAGCATCATAAAAGAGTACAAGAATAAAAACCAATCCTTTTCGTTGTTTCTTGACATTTCTGTTTTTGCATTCTTGGCGAGCAGGTTAACAGGTGAGAGTGATGAATCCCAGATTTCGTTTTTGAACAACTGGCTCAACAATCACATTGAGGATGCACAGAAAGTCATTGGAAAGCCACTTCTTTTCGCGGAGTTTGGGAAATCATTGAAAGATCCCGGTTACAACACAAACCAAAGGGACTTGCTGTTCAACACAGTCTACTCGGCAATCTACTCATCAGCTAGGGGTGGAGGTGCAGCTGCCGGTGGACTGTTCTGGCAATTTCTAACTGAGGGGATGGACTCTTTCCGCGATGGGTATGAGATAGTTTTGAGTGAAAGCCCCTCAACGGCTGGCGTGATTGCTCAGCAGTCGCAGAAGCTTAATAAGATTCGGAAAATGTATGCCAGGCTGAGAAATATTGAGAAATTGAAGAGAGCCAAGGCAATCAGAAGCGCTCAGGGGTCAGTCAATAAAAAGGGTGCAGAATCTGGAAACTAAAAAAATTGCAAAGGAAACAAGATATAGTATAAAAGAAACTATAGCTGTTATACATTTTATGCGAATTTATTGTTTATTATGAATGTTTTAGGAACTTGAGAAGTTGGATGCTCTCTTAGAGATGAAATTTTTTTTTATCCAAGAGAGTAGGATTTGCAGAGGTGTGTAATTCTTGAAGATATAGTATATCCTTTTTATAATTTTACTCCTAGCTATTAAACAGAATTCAGTATAAATAAATAAACATAGAAAAGAATTATTGCATTTATTCAGAAAATTGTACTCAAATAAATATATCTTAGCATCTTCTTATACTTGGTTTTATTGCAAACAATTCTAGCAAACCAGCTGCTGGTTTCTCAGCTTCCATTAGCCTTGTATTCCTAGCTGCTGTAAATAGTATGCACCTTGATGAGAAGAGTAATATAAACTGTTATCAAATCAGCCATTATTATTCCTAATTTTGAATTCTCTTTATGGTATAAGAGCATTCTAGTTCTGATGAGGAACCGGGTCCTACTTTCTCCATGGGTGAAGAAAATTCCCAAAGCACTCAATCTCCATTGCTTATCAATCCTACACCAAACACTGGTCTGCCAAATCTTATTTCCATCAATGCAGCAACCTAATTACCTTTGAAACTCACGTCTTCCAACTATCCTTCATGGAGAGCCCAATTTCATTCTCTACTCTTCGGATATGATCTCCTGGGTTATCTCAGTGGCTCTACCCCTTGTCCTTCTGAAACCAGTGTCAAAGACAAGATCAACTCCTCCTCCTTGCCATTTTTGCATCACTTTCTGGAACCGTAATGCCCTTGGTGGCTTCAGCCAAAACTAGAAATTTAAGACTGTTAGTCATTTGTAGCTTGTGGGTCGGACTCATCATAACACAAGTAAGGACTCATCCAAAATAGATGGACATGTAGAAGAGATGGTCTATTGAGAGTCATGGTTAAAATTTAAAAAAGAAAAGCTATCATGAAAACATTGCATGTCATGTTGTTTGCAAAAATATATATTTCATTTGACATTTAAGATATAGCAACCCTTATACTAATAAGTCATGAGATAATTAATAATATGTTAAAAATAATTAATTAAATATGCAACTCTATATTTAATTAAACATTTAAATTGAAACAAAATAATAATAATAATAAATAAAGAACCTGGACCGATGCTAGTATTGAATACTGTGTCCTTAAGACAATTTACACCCTGTATGGTGCTGACGGACTTTGTGGCGCTTGTCTCTCAGGATATAACGGTTTACATCCACCAGTAGCAGCACTATAAACTCGTGGATACAACGAACCTCCTCCATGTAATAGTCTCTCTGACTAAAAAATGCATCTATATTATATAAATGCTAAATTGGGTGCAATCCGAACCAAATGGTTCGAGCCAATCTTAATATGTCTCGATGAAATTGGATTAGGGTTTAAGTGGCTCGGACCATTTGACCTATAGTTTGAACCCACTTGGGTTGGGTTCAAGTCTAGAGAGGGAGAGATAAGAAGAAAATGAATTGAACAAATTGCAAATGGCAACCCAATGGGGTATTTATAGAAATAGAAGTGTCTTTTCGGATTGGGTATGTCTCTTCATCATTGGACACAACCATTCATATGTGTCTCTTCATCACTGGACACAACCATTTATACATGTCTATTCATTACTGGACATAACCATTTATATGTGTTTTTTCATCACTGGACACACCCATTGCAATAGGTTGCATTGGTTCACATTGAATAGGTTATATCTATTGGTTTTGAGTTGCATCTTTTCATTCCACAACCAACCATTGATCAAACCTGTTCAATCAAAGTCATCTATTGATTACTGATGAAAAAAATTTCATTTAAAAATTCTAACAATCCCCCACATGAATGGAAATTGACGGCTTAAATGCAAAAAATGATCATGCAGACACTAGAGAGAGTATAGTCGAAAAGTTATGGCATCAGGATAGATAGTTTTTGGCCTTGAACCTTCTTTAGTATATTACTATCCGATTTACTAGCTAACCAGTGAACGTGATGTCTTGAATTATTTAGCTGTTTGTGTAAATCAAGACAATAACAAACACACAATACCTTTCCTCACAGAGTTGGTTCTAATTGTTGTGTTCATTTTGGCCTTGACCAACTCCTGGCATTTATGAGAGCTCTAGAAAACTTAGCCTTTATATTTCCCATGAAAGCGGACCCACTTCAAACTCATATAGGTGACTTTTTATTAAGAGTATCCTGTAACGATTTGAATCTGTGGATCCGGACCGTTACCCGGGTCCATACCGGAACCCGAGGTCAACTAGGTCACACCATTAATTTTCTTGAGTTCCTTGACTAATTTACAAAGAAATCCAAGGTTCCAAAATGTCCCAAGTCAAGCTTACAAGGAGGTCCAAACATTACAGGTCAAGGAGGGGGTTGTCAGCCGGCTGATGGCCTATAGTCGGCCGGCTGACAAGGCAGGATCGGTCGACCGACAAGGCAAGGTCGGTCGGCCGAAACGATGGTGAGGAAAATGGCTCTCGGGACTTTCACTGTGAAGGCGTTTTGGTCAGCTGACGATGGGGTTCGGTAGGCCGAACCTGGGGTTTCGGTCAGCTAATGAGGAGGATCAGCTGGCCGAAACATGCATTCCTGGGTTATCAACTTACTCGAAAGGCCACTGTCTGCACTCTTAACCCACCAAACCTTCACTGAGCCTGTTTAGCGACTGATTCCGAAACTCAAGGTACAAAAATATGATGATACAATTTTAAAGGGTATCATTAGTGAATTGTAATGCAACATTCCCTTTCCATTCATCAACAAGTGTACACTTAGTCCCAAATTTATAACATTTTCAATCAAGTGTTATGGTCTAACTACATGACCATGGTTGACAAAAATAATTACACTTCACAAAATTTAGAGACTTTACAAAAATGGGAAAAATATACAAAAGGTATAAGGTGAACTTTTAGTCATCCTCATGCTTGTGGAAGGTCCGCATCAACTACGTCTTTTCTGATTCCTGAAAAATATTAAATAATGGGGTGAACATAAAGCTCAGTAGGTAGCGCCTAAGGCACACCCCTTGCAGCCCCGTGAATCCAAACAAGGAATAGAGCAGTAGGAGATAGGGATCATACAATGTCGGGGTAATATCACATAACGATCAATCTCAAGTATACACAATCTGATGTAATGGAATGCAATGCGTGCCAATGTCACTCCCCACTTTCATCATTCAAAACCATTACTTTCAAACGGTTAATATAACCTGCCCTTTGGTGACCCCGCAGCGACACGAGAGAAGATTGGCTAGTGTCCCTGACCCTTGGTACCCTTGTGGCATCATTTTGGGCCCAGCTAGCTCAACCATGCTAGAGCATTCTCCCTAGTTCCTTCTAGGCTATATTAACCATCCGGCGCTTTGGTACCCCCGCGGGGATCGAGTTTTCACAAAACCTTTTCATCAAAATTCTCCCATGAAAATCCACCTTTTCATTGTTTCAAAGAAAATCATTTCCATCCATGCGAACCCAATGATGTGTATATATATGTCTCATGCCTTCAATGCTATGTTACTAAGGGATTTTCAACAATACCATTAGGCATACTTTCCAAACATCATAGCTAGCAATTTAACATTTTAGACATAAAAACTTAACATTTATCATACTTTTCAAGTAAACCAACAATTTCACATAATCACATGTTTCATACCCTCAATTAGATCATCTAAGGAAGCAATCAACTTAATTTAAGCATGCTTAACAACAATTCAAGTAAAGAAACTCACAAAAGTGCAAGAAAAGTGTGAATTAGAGACCCCTACCTTAAGATTGTGCAAAACCCCCAATTGTGCCCTAGAATTACGAAATTCTTATAGTGCACCAATCACTAAATTACTCTGATTAAATGAAAGAGCTCGTCGTGAGCTTCGATTTGCCGCAAACGGCACCCCAAATGATTAAGTATTGGGAGAGAGATCTAAAGTTGAAGTTGTAAATGGAAAAAGAAAAAGAAAATGCAAGATGAAGGGGAGAGAGAGAGAGCTAGCGGGAGAGAGGAAGAAATGGAGACCAAAATGTGGTCTCCTAGCCTTTTTGTGCAAAAGTGGTGGGTCCTACCTTTTCTTTTTATTTTTCCTTTTTCTTTTGCCTTTAATTTACACCACATACATATATATGTACACAATTCAATATAAAATGCACATAAGGCACATCACATAAAACTCTTGGAGTGCAAATGGACCCAACCAAAATCCCGTACGCTAAACGTGAAAAGACGAAAATGCCTTTGTGGCGACAAAAATTCCAGAAAAAAATTAAAATTGCTGAAAATTGAAAACATCACATATCCTACTATACCCCACTTGAATTTTCAAGGTATAAGAGTCATGAAAAGCGTAGCTTATCCTAATCCTCACTGTAAGTAACACTGTCTCATCATAGAAATGCGCAGAAGATTTATATCTTCCCAGTGCTTCTGGTGAGTCACTCAGAATTTCTGCTGTCCCTTTAAACTTAGTTCTTGGGATCTCTAGTCAACTAGGTTGGGTTTCCATTAAGATGACTCGTTAAGTTTCGGCTTTTAATCCCATTCTCCTCGATGATCCGTACAATTTCTGTCTACTACAACCTTCAATTTTATATGTGGCCATATGGTTGTATATAGAAATATTATACTCTGTAGAGATTTCCCCAATTGAGAACAAATGTATACTTTGTGCCCTAAAATTGCTTTTTAGCAATATCATTTTCTTTAGTGGCACAAGTGTAGACTTACTTTGAAATGTCCTTTAGGTATCGTCTTTGAGTTATATTAAGAACATACAACTACACCTTTAATATTAAAGACATATCCACCTTTGGATTTGAAATCTTTAATATCCCACATCCAGATTTAATCACTGTTACACCTCTAATTTAGCTAGATACCTCGATCTATACAATATTTAACTTTGGGTGTATCTCAACTACCCAATTTTTTTTTTTTCCTTTTTAGTGATCCTATCTTGAATTGAAAGTGTGCAATTAATCACAGTTATTAAGATGCCTTGCAGTCTCAACTAGTGATATACTTTGATTAGTATTTATATTTAAGATTTACATTTACAAAAGTTAGCTAGACTTTTGTTATCATAACTAGTATTATCTTAATCTCACTATATTGAGAATATACTGTGTTATCAGATGTTAAAT